AAAGTCACATAAGGGTTAAGAGTATTTTTCTACATCAAGGTTAAATTCAAGCCATTTGGGAATGTCAATTCAACAGATGGATCAATAATTGTTCTTGTCTACAAAGGCTTGGGATTTCTGATACAGAAAATGTCCAATGGATACAAAGTCCAGAGTACACAAAGATGTGGATACTATGTATTATTCAATATGATTAAAGGAGCACTATAGGGACAGGAACACAAACATGTATTCCTGGCCCTATAATGTAAAAACCACTATCTAGCCCCCTTGGCCCCCTTTGCCTCCCTAAATATAGTAAAATCTTACTTGTATTCAAGTCTGAAGCTGCTGCCTCTGCCTGTGAACTTCCTATGACCTCTGACATCATCAGAAGTGGTGGCCTGATCCAATCACAATGCTTCCTCATAGGATTGGCTAAGACTGGGGCAGAGCCAGCACAAGTCAAACACAGCCCTGGCCAATCAGCATCTCCTCATAGAGATTAATTGAATCAATGAATCTCCATGAGGAAAGTTCAGTGTCTGCATGCAGAGGGAGGAGACACTGAATGTTTAGATGCATTTTAGGCAGCCATGACCTTGGAAGGATCTCTAACAGCCATCCATTTCTCTGAAAAGACAGCAGAAAGCCTGAAGCTAATGATTCTACTCACCAGAACAAATTCAATAAGCTGTAGTTGTTCTGGTGACTATAGTGTCCCTTTAAAATATTCTGTTTATTACATATATATAGCAAAACCACAACAGAAAAGGAAAAAGGAAACCTATAAATACACACAGAGTAGCTGACCCTTTGTGAACAATTGACAGTGACTATTTCCCCAGGATTCCTTTCAGGTGGGGGTTTGATTTAAAATCGTTGTCATTAGACTTCAAAAGTTTCATACTTTTCAGTAACTTACAATCAGTTGGTTAACCCTTTGTGAGTAAAATATATCCTAGGGATTCTTCTTAGGTGGGGGGATAGGGAGGGGGGGTTACTGATTTCAATATATTGCCATTTTATTTCATAGGTCCTATAGGGCTTAACAATTACAATAGTTGCTTAACCCTTTGTGAACAATATGTCGTTCACTCACCATAACCACTGTAAGCAAGAGTGATTTTGAGTTATTTAACTTTTGTTCCTCCTACCTCTAATTATAGAAATTTAAGCAACCTTCATTGCTACAGAACACCTTCTACCCCTCTTACATTGCAGAGCGCATTAGCTTCTGTTCACTACTCTGTGTGTATTTATGCATTTCCTTTTTCCTTTTCTGTTGTGGTTTTGCGATATATATTTTAATCATTATCTAATAAACTGAATTTTTTTATCATATTGAATAATACATAGTATCCATATAGGGACTTCTTTATCCATTGGACATTTTCTGTATACAATTTATCTAATTCTTAGGGTTACCCCCTTTGAAGTCCCCTCCTTTTCTTGGATCTCTGATACATCTGTATGCTCAACAGTTGTTAACAGACTTGAACTGTTTCACGCTATTGTAATGCTTGTACTGCCTAGCAACACTCATCTTTCCATTTTTTTTTTAAATCCAAATCCTGTGTTCTCAAAATAGTTTTTCCAAGTATCAGGTGTCTAATAATTCAAGCTTAGATTATTTATATAGCAGTGTGAATAAATTGGAGCATTGACCACATATATAGGAGTTTCCTTTTGTGCAAAATAGTAAAATATAGTTTATCATGGTTATTAACAAAAGTGAGAATTCAAGGTGAATTCAAAGTAAATTTTAAATGTAGGCAAACTGAAAGCATAGACGATTTAGATCATTTTTCCAGTTTTGCTATTTTGATCTTAAATTTCTGTCTGTGTAGAACCTCATTTGATGAGTCTGATGGATGTAAACAAATCACTTTAAATATATATTTTTTTTATCATTATTAGACTAATAATAACTAGTAATAATAATTACTTTATAAAACGCCATCACATTTCACAGTGCTGTTAATGGAGAGCCAGTGAAGAGACTTGCAGAGAGGTGCAGCAGATACAGAGTGACAGGTAAGGTGAATTAGCCAGTTAATATGGACTGAAGAAATGAGAGAGAAAGGCCATTTAGTAGTTTATTGCAGTACTTGATACGGGAAATAACAAGGGAGTGGTAGCAGCATTCAGAAACTGATGAATTTCTGGCAATATTGCGTAGGTGGTAGTGGCAGGATGAAAACATTTTGGATGGGGGGGAAGAAGGAATATTGGAGTCAAGTGTAACTACAAAGTAGTGGACCTGGGGTAATGGGGAGATTCTGATGCCATCAACAGAGACAGAGAAGTTCAGCCTTGGGAATATTGATCTTTAGGTGGCAGGACACCATCGAAGAAGAAATGCCAGATAATCAGTCACTGATATGAGCAAGAGCAGAGGTTGCAAGATCAGGGGTGGAGAGTATCATCAGCAGAAAAGTGATGTTTGAAGCAATAGCTGTTGATCAGTTTACCCAGTGAAGATATATAAGAGGAGAAGAGTAAAGCACCCAAGACATAACCTTGAGGTACTCCAACTGATAGAGTTATGGAGAGGAGGGGTTACCAGCAAATGACACAGAAAATGACCTGTTGGAAAGATAATGCAAGAGTGGATGCAAGAGAGACCAGTATCACAGAGACCAAGAGAGTTGAGAGACTGTAGAGGGAGAAGGTGGTCATTTGTGTTAAAGGCAGCTGAGAGTTCAAGTAAGATAATTATAGAGTAATGGCCATTATTGATAGCAAAAAGAACATCCTTAGTAACTTTGGTGACGGTGGTTTCTGTCAAGTGTTGGGGGTGAAAGCCAGAGTGTAGGGGGTCAAGCACAGAGTTTGAAGACAGGGCATGGGTTAGGTGGTTGTAAACTAGTTTTTCCAGTAGTTTTGATGCTAGGAGAAGCAGTGAAATGGGGTGGTAGTTAACAGGAGAATTAGGCTCAAGGGACAGTTTCTTGCGTATTGGAATGACTTATGCGTATTTGAAAGGGGATGGGAATGAACTAATAGAAAAGGATAGGCTGAAGATGTGAGTGAGAGCAGGAGCAAGGGTGAAGGACAGAGAAGGTGTTAAATGTGATGGGATAGAGTCAAATGGACAGGTAGTGAGGCATAAAAAACATAGTAGAGAAGAAACGTCATCCACGGTGGCTGGAAGGGAAACAGCATAGAGACACAGTGGTGGTAAACCCAGTTTGGAGGCGGAATATTGTACGTTTGTGTCTGGATGTTTCTTCGTATAGTAAGAGGTTTTTTTTAGTAAGTAGTCTGCAAGGTCTTGCTCCCTGAAGTCAGATGATGGGTTGCTGCAGGTGAGTAAAGAGGGACGAAATGTGCAAAAGAGCTGTTTAGAGTTGGAAGAAAAAAAATATGTTTGCTTGGCGGGCAGAAATATACAAATAAGAATGAATTTTCAGTGGATGAAATCAGGATCAGAGTGGGATATCTTCTAGGCACAATCAGCAGTGCATAGGGATTTTTGCATATAGCGTGTTTGCTGGGAGTGCCAGGGCTGTAACGTATTTCATGGATATTTGCACAAATGGGGAGGAGCAAGAGTGTCTAGTACAGAGAAGTGCTGTTTTAATGGGTTGTTGTCAGATCAGGGAATGTTATGTTGGAAGTGTGGGGGAGAAACTTTTAAGTAATTTTGGAAAACTTAAGTGTATCCACAGCATGGAGGAGAAGTATATTGAGATTATAGGAAAGAAGAGTGACAGGTGAAGTCAAATATAGAGTAGGAAAATACCAGGTCAATAGAGTGCCACAGTGAGTAGGAGATATTGTGTATTGAAAAAGACTAAAAGAGGATTTGAGTGAAAGAAGTTTAGAATCAGCAGGGGTAGATGGGTTGTCAATGGGAATGCTGATGTCTCCAGGTATAGTAATGGTACATTTGGAGAGAGAACGTGAAGTAGCCAAGCTGTAAAGTTGTCAAGTAACTGTGAGGTTAGTCCTGTATTGCAATAGATGACTACCACTCTGAGATAGAGGAGAGGACAGGCGAATGCAGTGAATGTCAAATGAGGTGAAGGAAAGAGATGGGAACAAAGGCAAGTACTGGTCTATGGGAAGGCTAAAGAAGAGGCCAACATGTTTGTGAGCAGCAAAGGAAGCAATGTCAGAAGAAGACAGACAGGATTCAGTAAGTACTAAAAGGTTGAAAGAGTTTAATGTTAAAAGATAATGTCTGTGAGTTTATTACACAAAGAACAAGCATCCCAGAGAGCACAAGAAAAGACAGGAGATAAGTGCTGTGGGTTAATGGAAATGAGATTGTCATAATTGTGTGTCCCAGGGCTTTTACTACAGGAGATCAAACAAGAATGTGAAGATATGGGAAGAGTTACAAGGCCAGAGTTAGAAAAGATGTCACCATCAGCAAGCAGTAGTAGGATTATAAGTGAGAGAAAGCGAGAGTGAGACTTGTAGGAATAGCAATGGCTAGAGGTAGGAGAATTAGATGTTGAAATGTTTCTAAGGAAGCATAGCAGTTCATGATGGAGGAGGGAAAGTGAAATAAAGATAGCTTGGGGGTTATTATTGTAACAAGGAGATGCAGTGAGATGTAGAAAAAGTTCAGGTAGGAGGAGAAAAATGATAAGAAAAGCATTGTGCAGCTGTAAATTGGTAAATCTGATCTGATAGTGAGTTGTATGATGATGCCTTCCTCCCTCCAATTGTAACTACTGTTAGCAACTTGTAACCATGCCGGCATCTGGAAGCCAGTGTACTGCTTTTTATACCAGTGGAGGCTAACTACTACTAAATAAATATGAAACCCTTGAACGGGTAGGATATAAATGAAATACAACAAAAGGAATGGCAAAATAAATAGGACGTTTCTATCCTGGAGTTGGCGACTTAAGGCAAGTGTCTGTGAAAGTGTATCATGATTCCTCCAATCAACCAATTTAAGTGCGACAGCTTTTGGTTAGAACAAATTTCTATCTAGGTTATGACATAGCATCACAAATACAAACGTTTATGATTTTCAACTTTATTCCAAACATGATATATACATAGAAAGTCAGTGATCATATTTTGATATTACAATCTTAGAACGAGGACAAAAAGAATAAAACATTTGCGACATACCTCATATACATTTTATAAGGGCTACCCCAGGTAGTGTGGTATATAAAAACAAATGTGCAATTTTTCACAATGTAGTGTTATCTGTGACATGAAAGGCCTCCCAAGCTGTTCCTCTCCAACTCTGGCACTAGTATGCCATTATAGAGATTAAAGAAACCTGCTCCTACTCCTAACATGCTGGTAGAAGTGATAAAAATTAGACAATATTTCTTCAAATTCCTTCCGTCAAAAGCACACACATAGTGCTGTACCAAAAAAGAGGCATTGGGGTGACAGCCAAAGGAATATGGATAGACCTAAGTGGTTGGTGAGGGCAATGGGAGAAATGGGGGTGTAATGGATACATAGAGTAAGATAAAATAGTGGGTGATGGGGGCATTGGATAAGGTAAAAGGGATGAGTGGCATTGGACAAGACACAAAGTATGGGGCATGAGGAGAGACAAGGGAGGCAGGTGGAATAAATAGGTATTTAAGTGGGGGTGCTAAGAGAGACACAGAAGGGGAATTTGGGCATTATAAAAGTAAGATGAATTGGGGAAACAGTATTAAGAATGTAGGGTCATCTTAGATTGGATAGCATGGAGTATCCATGTTTACATATTTATAAAGATAGGAAAAAAATATTTTAATTTATAAAAAATATATCTCTGCCGATTCTTGTTTTTGAAATTTCAAAATAATCAAAACCCTTCTTATATGAAATAAAAATACAGAGAACATTTTAAAAACAGGTACAGTGATTTACACATTATTCAATTATTTCACTTATATAAGCTTTGGCATCAAAGTCATTACACTCATTGTAACAATAAAGTCCTACTATTCCCAACAAACCATAATAGGGTGTGTTGTAGTCGAAAATAGGTTAACTTCTTTTGTTCCTCTTTTCCTAAAGTTTAGATTAGTTTATGACCTATCATTATTTTACTTTCAAAGTATGTAGAACACAAATATGACTAATTTTAGAAAAATAAAAGAGCATTTTAGAGAATGCATACTACTAAGTATTAACCCGTATTGTTTGTTCACCAAATTGTAGTGAAATTAAAACCAAATTGCAAATCCTAGAATATTCAATAATTTAATGTAACATTTAGTTCCATGTAGCTTTACCTTGCTGGCTATAATATAGCCTTAACCAATTTAGCAGAAGAGCATAAGAATTACATATATTTTCATTTGAGCAAGGTATATAACTGGACAAAACTTCAATGTGGACATTGAAGAACATGAGACAAATTTGAAGTACATTCTGCTTGTATATATTTGCTTGTACTGAATAAAATCAATATGTCATTTACAAAATGTCACTTATAGAACACATCAATTTGAATATATTTTGAACTAAATTTAATTGGTTAGTTCTCATAACACAGTCTTGCTATCTATTTTCTACTGTGACATTTGTGTATAAATGACAATGACAGCTTTCAGTATAGCCTTATATAAGTCAAGAGTTTCGGCTTTGAATAGTGAATTACAGCAGATTGAAAGTCAGATTGCAAATTTATAGCCAAAACAGATTTGGAAATTAGACTGACTAAATTTTGTTATTTAGTTATCAGTTCACCAAAGTTCACTGCTCGATTGCAAATTAAAAAATATTTATTATTCAGACTGTTGAGTGGCTCTTTCAAAATCCACAATTACATGCCCAGGTAGCAGAAAAATAATTCATTTTGTGAGATTTAAAGCACAAACATGTGAAATGAAACTCTAATATTTAATATTAAAAAAACAGAATTTACTGCTCCTTTAAAGCATTTATTTGGTGAATAATACTATTGTGTCCTCCACCAACTAACATGGGTGAACCTGTAGTCTTTAAAGCAAACAATCTATAACTAACAGGTTTGAAACCATCAAAAATATAAAGATCTATTCAGAAGATATAAAAGAAGACCACAAGACTGAGCCAGCAGTGCAGATATGGTTTCTATATATATATAAAAAAATGTGTATTAGACTTGTTGCAAAACTGTGTAGTCCAGACATAATGAGCATGGACATCCAGATAGGAATTAGAGAATTGTCTCTACTCATAATTTCTCAGTGCAGTGATGGCTAACGTTAGTACTGCAGATATATGTACATGTTTAATGATGTTCTCCCAGTTGAACCCAAGTCAGCCATGACTGGAATTAATATCTTGACCAATGGACGAGTAATGAATGGTTCTGAGTAGGTAAAGAAAGCGGGGAACTGGTCAATAAAGAGAACTGTAAGAACAGGCAAGAATTTGCCAAGGTGCTTCTTTTGAACAATGTTCCATGAATTATTTTACTTCCTCCTGTTCACAGTGGTAGCCAAGTAAAATGTGGACCATGGTGTATGCTACTGTGTTAGATTTAGTACTTATTTCCCACTTCAACTGCAATGTTGTGTTACAATCTTGTATTATATTCCAAAAGGTCTTCGTCTGTATCTGCTTCACCAGTTTCAAACCCTAGATTGATCCTCCCAGGTGAGTAGTCATTTCTTTTTAAATCTGCAGGAGAGAAAGATCAAATATTTCAGAAAACAGAGGAAATAATGACACATGCAAGGTAAGGAGAAAGAGATAGGGCACACAGCTCATTGAGCCAGCATCGCAAGCAATACAGTGCAGTACTTTTCAGCCTATTTCTATGGGACCCTGAAGACTGAGGATTTATTTTATGAAATGGAAAGGAATAGTTATGTAATTTTAGCATGTTACTCAGATTACAAATGAACTGATGCTTTCACCAACAAAAAGAAAGTAATGATGAAAGAAACAAAAATATATATTTTTCTAATATATGTCAATACAAATTAGTTTAAATGGATCTGACAAGTTGAGCGGGCGCAGAAAAAATATCATATAGACATTGCGATAACAAAATCTTCAGTAAAAATATACATTGAAAGGTTATTTACCTGAATTATGTTTCTTATTAGTTGTAATTGGGTATTGCAAAAGATGTGAACAGATGTTCATAACTGCACTCTCAAGTCATTGTAAAATACTGCTAGCATCAACTATGGCAGTGATATATATATTTTATTTTTTTAATCTGCATGCAACAGTATACAAGCAAATGTTAAAATAGAATATACATTGGTAAAATATAATTAATATGTTTGCTAGAAACATAATGGCATAACCTGTAGATTAGATTGTATCTTCTAATAAAATTATACCATGTCAGGTGTAAATGATAGAATATTGAAACAAGTGTGAGGCTGAAACAGAAACAAAAACATATGTTAACTACTAAGTCCCTGTTGTGCATCAGAATCACAAAGTTCAGCTACTATAGCCAACATAGCAAATAAATAGGTAATACACCCCAAAAGTGATCACACATAAAATACTTAGCACAACAGGAGGAATACAGGTCAAGTAGAGCAATCTATAAAAAATAATTGAGAAAACACATTTTACTGTATATATAAAACAAGTGGAATAAACCTCACAATGAAGAGCTGTATCAGGCTCTATAGAAGAGACTCCAGGGTACTTATACAGGCTGCGAGGTAGATGATGAAGAGGTAAGTGGTCCAACAGGTATTTGAACATAGAAAAGGGACAACTTAATATTAGTAAGCAGTGCCAACCAAAACGCAAATACAATAAAAAGGTATGGCACCGCAAAAACAAACACATGAAATAAACAAAATAATATACGTATAAATATAAAAGTCCCAAAGGATGGCAGCAGATGCCTTTTTAACCCTCTCAGGGGTCTTCCTCAATGCTGACTTGCCTCTTAACAGTTCGTCTTTAAATACCTCTTGTGCCACCGAAATTTGAAGCTGGTTAGTTCCGTGTGTGACATCACTTCTGGTTTGGTCTGTTACATTATCGGACCGCGTCCCGGAAGTATAGTAGATGGACGCAGTAGTGAAACGTCATATCTGGTATTAGGAGTCGCAAAGTTTGGGCAGAATGTAAAAAGGTGCATATTTATCAAGGGAAAAGGTGTATAAATAAAAACGGGAAAAAAATATACATAAAAATATTATTAGATGGGAATACACTAAAACAATATAGTTACACAGTATAGATTACAGCATCTTATCATAGAGAGGTGGACTTTTAGTATAAACTCAAAAAAGAAGATATTAAATAAAATGGCTAGTGATGTCCCGAACTGTTCGCTGAACGGTTCGCGAACGGTTCGCCACGAACAGTTCGCCACGAACTCCAGTCAGCAGACACATTCCAGCCAATCAGTAGCAGACCCTCCCTCCCAGACCCTCCCACCTCCTGGACAGCATCCATTTTGAAGCTGCACTCTTAGTGAGCTGTCCAGGAGGTGGGAGGGCCTGGGAGGGGTCTGCTGCTGATTGGCTGGAATGTGTCTGCTGACTGGAGTCCGCGGCGAATCGTTCATGGCGAACCATGGTGAACAGTTTGGGACATCACTAATAATGACATAACTAATATTAGAATGGCAAAAAGAAAAAAAAAAGGGCAGAACTCCCAAAACACAATAGAACTGGAGTTATATAAAAAAATGTTTAAAAAATAATTTACAAGAGTTAATTAATAAAAATAATGATTTATAAGAAATGAGCCAATTCAAAGTCCAGATTTAGCCCTCTAGGGGCCAAGGAATCAATATTAAATATCCACCTGGTCTCTATTTTGCACAGTTCTCTAAAATTATCTTTTCTCCCCCAGTTCTGTGTTTTTTTACAAATAGCTATAAAACTTAACAAAATTGTAAAAAAAATTAGCAGAGACACTGTGCTTTTCATACCCCCTCCTAATGTTGCCCATATGTTCTGCAATACAGACTTTTAAATTTCTAGTCGTCATACCTATCTATTGCAGTCCACATGGGGACCAAAGGAAGTATATCATGTTGGACGAGTGGAATGTTAGTATGTCTTTGATATGAAATGATTGTCCTGTTACAAAGGACTTAAAGGATATTATTGTTTCTTTTTTTCTGGCTCATATTTTCACACCCTGAACAAAGTTTGCAGGGATCAAAAACGTGTTTTTGATTAAAAACATTTTCAGATTTTTTGGGTTTGATAACACTCCTTACTAAATTATGTTTTAAATTGTTTGCCCCTCTAAATATAATGTGTGGGTTTTCCCCAATTATATTTTTCAAGTCATCATACATTTTTAAAACATTCCAAAATGTTTTCAAAATATGTTTAATTTGGTTGGACTGACTATCAACATCTAAAATAATGGGGAGACCTTTTTGGTTGTCCTTCTGTGTTAGACATTTTTTCTTGTTTAAAATATTTTCTGTTGATAATGCTTGAACTTCTTTAAGTTGTTGATCTATACTGTTGAAATTATAATTATTTTCTAAAAACTTCTCTTTTAAAAATTTTGCTTGAGTATTAAATTTTTCTCTGTCACTGCAATTTTTTGAAATTCTAATAAATTGTCCCTTGGGTACGTTTCTCAGCCAAAGGCCATAGTGACCACAGGTGGTGTCAATAAAACTGTTGACATCCACTCTCTTTAAAAAGGTTTTGGTCTTAATAAGATAATTTTCAACATAAATCTCTAAATCTAAAAAATGGACCTTCACCTTGCTAAATTAACTAGTTAAAACAATATTCTTATTATTATCATTTAAAAAAGATAAAAATTGATTGAGAGAATGACAATCTCCTCTCCAGATAAAAAAATACCTCATCGATATACCTGCAATAGTAGACCAGGTTCACGCTCCAGTTATTGACCCCTGAGAGAAAAGACTCCTCCCAGTGGGACATAAATAAGTTAGCATAACTTGACGTGAACCTGGTACCCATGGCACTACCGACCATCTGTAAAAAATAAGAGCTCTCAAACCAAAAATAATTGTTTTGTAAAATAAACTTAATGGCCTCTAAAATTAAATCAACTTTGATCTCTGGGTAGCCGTATTGAGTAAATAAATGTTCTACTGCTTCACAACCAAAAAGGTGCGAGATAATGGTA